TTCGGTTTTTCTCTCAGTATATTGGTTTTCTTCTCCTTCTAGAAAAGTTTGAACCTTATTGTCTCTCAGCGATACGGATTTTATAGTGTTCTAGCCGCCATAATTCGAGAAAGCTCCGATAAACAACTTGTATTGGGAATCGTGAAGGCTTTGCTGTTCATTCATCAACCTGACCAAGTGGCGCCAAAGGCGAGTGACGTGTCTGCAGCTGATTGGCTATATCAACACACGTGAAAAAATATCTATTTTTTTCACGTGTGTTGTTACGGCTTTTCTCAAGGCCAGAAAACCCTATATAACACCGCAGTTTATGTGATAAATAGAGGATATTACATGGCATCTCTCGTGAATCGTGAAGGCTTTGCCGTTCATTCATCAAACTGACCGAGTGGCGCCAAAGGCGTGTGACGTGTCAGCAGCTGATTGTCTATATCAACACACGTAAAAAAAAAATTCGATATTTTTTCACGTGTGTTGTTCCGGCTTTTCCCAGGGCCGGAAATTCCTGTATGACACCGCAGTTAATGTGATAATAAGGTTTTCTCCATTACTTTGGTATTCCGTGAACTTTTAGACACTTACCTGTTAGATTGGCTGCCTCTGCCATGAGAAATGTGGTCCATGACAGTAGGAAGAACAAAGCCGTCTCTAAGAGAGGAAAGTCTGAGATTTTGGTGAGTTTTGTCACCTGTTTTTGTTGTGATGTTAAGGGTCTAAAACCACAAAATGTTCATAACGAACATCAAACCTCCATGGGACAGATATTGACAACAAATTCTATATCCAAATATATTACAAAACACCACTTTTTGCCAATTCAGGCTTATGAACAAAAAATTCCCACCACCTTCCCCCCCCCCTCAAAAAAAATTGTCACTACATCTCGGTAAAATTTACAAAGCACACAAAATTCATCTTTTTTTTTTAGGAGGGGGGGGAGGGGAAAGGGGATGGATTTTATTTTTGTAAGATTCCGTAAGTGTCCCAAGATTTTATCCTTCATTGTTTATAATAATGTTAAATAAACTTTTGAAAGGATACAAGAGCAGTAACAAGACCCATAGCAAAACCGAGAAAGAAAGAACCCGAGAAAACACCAATGAAAACACCCACTGACTCAAAGAACTTATCAACTTGAAATCCAGTGCCTGCGTTGTCCAACAGATACGTCTCGACAGATCTGAAAAGACAAGCAGTATTGAAGAACAATTGAGACTTCTAATTTTGATTAAATTCATTTATAAAAAAGTTCGGATATAATGCACGCTGTCATTGGTTGAAAGAGCGTGCTCTACCAGTGATAGGACAAAACACAGAACTGAGCTAAAGCTCAGTCATGCCATTTGCCAATTTGTACTATGTCAGACCATTTTGCGGACTTCATTCAATCATGTCTCGTTTTTTCTTCCTACACTTCTTGAATGCTTTAGCTACTTCCTGTGAGCTTTACAACAAAACAGAGCACAGTCAAGGCTTCTTTATTTGTTAATTCAAACCATGCCTGACATGGCATGAAAATATAGGTATGTGTCAGGTGCACTTCCTCTCAAAAACAATTCTTTGGGTGGAGACAGGTAGAGTTTTAATTCACACTCAAATATAATTAAATAAATAAATAAATAAATAAATAAATAATGATTTAACAGTGGACAATTCAGGAGGTGGCTCAATAAGTCTTCCTGTCCATTGTTTCTTGGTCAAATTGCCTTGAAATACTCAACTTCACAACCAAAAATACCTTCACACATGTTGTAAGAATTGAGATGGCAATATCTGTATTCCACATACTCTTTACAGTTGCTGTATAATGTATCTTTCTACCACAAGAGCTGTCGCAAGTACTATATTTGATTTGTTTTTTGGATCATTAAGAAACCACATATTATTATAGTAGTTTCCTTGTTTGCCAAAAGTGAGCTAATACTGCTTCATCAACTGTGCTGTGCTCTTGACACAACAAACAATTCTATTAGTTACAATAAATATCTAATCCAAATTCTCACCCACACTACTTCCTACCTGAAGAGAACAATTGCCACAGCATCATTCATGACACTTTCACCAAATACCAAAGCATACAGATCCACATCCACATGCAGGTCATGAAAAATAGCCAGCACTGTTACTGGAAAAAAAATCACAGTAATATTACGTTTGAGTTTATGATGGATCTACTGTACAAAAGGTGCAAACAAGAGAATAAACTCTGAGAGGGGTAATGGAAAAGAGCAACTTTTCACAACTAGTGATGGAGTTAGAGTTGCCTCCCAATAATTTGAAACTTAAAGAGAAACTGAAAATGTTTGAGATGGTGATGGTAAGTTCAGGTTATTGGGAGTTAAGAGCAAATAAACAGTAATACTGTAAATTCATGCAGTGAACATTTTGATCAAATGAATTCTATCATCACATAGAAAGATAAATTGACATGGAATATTCAGCAGGCTAGGGATTAAGCAGTTAACTTTTTATGAAAATAGGACACAGGCGACTTACTGTGAAACTCAGAAAACCATATACACCAGAACTGTTTGGTGGAACTACGATAATTTACCATATAAGGGCATCCAAACACACAAGCTATGCTACAGTATTACACTTACTGAAACAGGCGCAAAAAAATGGCCAGCTGCTTGATTCAAACTTTTAATTTTTTTGAAAGAAACAAGCTTTTAAGTCTATCAGATTTTGTTGATGGTCACAAAGAACACTTAGATGGTTTCCTTTGTGTTGCTTTCCTATTTCACATATGCCTTATGCAAACAATGAGATGCCCATTTTGTAGGAGCATTTTGCAAACTAAAAGCTAAAATACTATGAATATGAAATAATAGTTGAATTTTTAATCTGTTATTTACTGGTGCACTGTAATACAAGTGAAAATTTTGCTCCTTGCTCATTAGGTTGGTGTTGCCTTGACCAGCCAGTTTGTCTCTGAGTAGTTTAAACCAACAAACCTGGATCTGTGGCTGATATCAGAGCTCCAAATAAGAGGCATTCCAGGAAACCAAATTCTTTGGGTACATGACTAGAATCGAACTTTGTGTAGGCATACATTGTCCCCCTGTTTAACAGACAGTACAAATTCATTACACAACAGCTGGCAAGAAGTATTGTAAGGAAGTATTGTAAAAGTATATTAAAATAATTTCTTAAACTTTAAAAGCAAGTTTCTTTATTTATCCAGGATTTCTTTGGATTTGCTTTACTTTACTCAGTGATTGACATAAAAAGGTTGTACCAACCTCTCAGCCAATCAAACTCAATTTTAAAACAAATTGCAACTTGTCTTTCCCTAACATTCTCATTGGCTTTTTGTGATATATTCCTTCCCTATGATTGGCTGTTGCAATAACATTGTTTTAATTTCACATCACTTAATCAAAATGCACACAATTTAATTTACTATTTTCCTTTCCAACAATCATACTTTTCCTTCTGAATTGAGAGAGATGACTGTTTTCAAGGGTTAATATCATTAGTACTATAAGCGTATCAGAAGCATTATCATATTATTAGAAAAACAAACAACAAAAAGCATATTAAGTATTATTATAACAGTATCAATACGAAATCATAACAAGTCCAAAAATGCTAATCAGCCATGCAGTTTAGGAAAAGAATTCTTAGCCATCATCATATCTGTAACTTTTACATGCTTAATTTACATGTAAATGTATGTGTATGTATGTTTCCTCATCAGCCACTATTCCTGTTTAATACCATTATGACATCAAACAAAGAGTTAGAGTTGTGCTGTTCCAGCAAGTGCTTAATGTTCATAAGCCATTCCTTTCATAACTTTAAAGAAAAGTATAAGAGATTCCAAATTAACCCACTCATTTATTCAACAATTTGTATACAACAATTTTCATAATTACTTCATGAATTTCATGCTTGCGGACTGGCCCTTTCACATTACCATCGCTTTAGTTGTGGGACACAATTGGACACAATGGCACACAAGGCAAAGTTACATGACAATGAGCAACAATAGCACAGTCATACACTTCATCGTAACATGTTTTAATAACAGTCTGCATGCAAACACATGCACATCAGATGAGGGAATGGTACCATACTAGTCTTCAATACCCCCTTATCTTTGAGTTGCACAGCACAGTGTACAGTAGGTACCAAATCTACTCACCCAAACACCATGCACGAGACAGTTGTTCCAACAAATGCGTATGTAAGGATGGCACCAATGTTTCGGAAGAAAAAGCGCTGAAAGTGTATTATAGATTAAAAATAATAAATAAATCTATATAGTACTAATTCTATACAAGAAGGTGTGAGAGATGAATAAATAAAAAGCTTACATATAATTTCTCTGAAACTAACAAATTGAATAATTCGATTATTATCAAAGGTAATATCAATAATAACAAGAACTACGAGTAGTTTACAGCAAGTTTAGTGGGGAAAAATTTGTTGTATATCTGTTAGGTTTGTTTTTACAAAACATGTAAAATAAATATAAAATTTAAGTAAAATAGTTTAGGATTTAAGGGCATTAACGTGATAAAACTATTGAAACAGTTTTTCGTCTTGACCATGGGCCTAAACCTCCATTTGTTTCTAAGGTTCAAAGTACTTGATGTGTTACAAGCAAGAAGAAGGTCATGGGGCTTGTTCTGTTTGCTCTGAATTATTTTTCTTAAGTGAGATGTCAGTGTGCTCTCATACTATTTTTTAATTATATTCATGTAAAAGGAAATATGTGAAGTACACATTTAGATTATAACAAAAGTTCACTTGGTTATCACCTTTTTCATGTCATATCCAGCATAGAAAATAATTGGTGGCAGTAGAACATAGAAAAATATTTCAGGATCAAAAACAGCCTGCAGGAAAAAAAGTTGAAAAATGTAAACTGTACATCTCAAAAGGCTTTCAACTCTCATTTCTGATCAACAAAGTACTTTTTACTGATACTAAATGATCATTTATATATTAAGCAAAAATTCTGAGATCTTTACTGCCTGGCATGTTATGCTTTGTACTCTAAATTTGTTAACAGTTTACAGTTATCTAACCCTTTTACCTCTTAAAGTGATTAGTATTTAATTTCTTCTTACAATTTTACCCCTGAATCCAACATTAAGGTCATGAGAATAAAGGAAATGATCACCAACCAAAGAAGCTCTTGATTGTTAACACAATTCTCCTTGTCAGCGCATTAGGAAGTGTACAGAGAATAGTATGGAGAATATTTATACTGATGTTTGGGTGAAAAGGGTTAATACATTGTTCCTTTACCCTGACTTATTTTTCTCACTTGTACTCTCTGTTAGTCGTGGGAGCACAACATGTATAAATTTTTTTTACTATAAAACACTTGCAGCTAACTAGTTTGATTTGCATCAAACTGTTGTTAGCTTGATGAAAAGACTTGCTTGATTCAAGGTGAGCACAACACAGTATTACAACATAGCACATGCGCAAGTCTAACCTAATTCTTGAGGAGCTACCATGATGGCAAAAATCCTTATGTATGCATGTGCATACATAACATGACCTGCAGTTTCATTCTACCAAGTTTAGCTACAAGGTTTCAAAACTTTTTAGGTTGTTTTCCTGTTTTCTGTCCTGGGACAGACCTTCATGCACCATTGCTTTTAAAAAATACTAATTAGATTGCAAACATATTACTTTTTGAACTGAATCACTTTAAAAACATAAAAATGTGTGTAGGAAACCTTGTATTAGCTTATCATCAGCATGTAAATATTCTTCATTGTACCTACCATCTGCTCCAGTTCACTTTCTTGACCAGAATTCTGCACTGCTCCAGACAATGTATATGAATACTGTGAACCATTTGAAGTGCTAATATACAGCTTCTTTCTTGCAGTACTTATGGTACAGTTTGGGTAAGTAACTTCCACTCTCTTGTTTCTACTTAAATATTTTATGAGAAGACCAATTATCATACCTGGGAAAAAAACAAAAACTTAGCACAATTTACCCATCAACCAATCCATGCCAACTGTGGTCAACACATCATGCACCTTGCAAATTTAAAGGAAGAATTAAAAAGTGAAATTTGAAATGACTATACAACCACCCCACCCCCCCTGCTTCCCTTAACTCGCTGTTTTGTGATCAATGAAAATAAAGTGCAATATTGTATAGGAGGGGCAGGGGATGAAAGTTTGGGTCTTTGGGAAAAAAATACTGGAGGGAAGTTTCAGAAATGGCGGTGCTGCATCGACAAAGATATAAAAAATGCACCAAGTGCATTGTTGAGTTATATAAGCACACAGGAATTTTTAAGAACATGAGAGAAGTGCAGTGAATTGCACGAGCTCATACCAATGACATAGGCTGCATGCATTATATCTAAAAAGTGCACCCATGTGAAGTAAGGCGCATGCTTGTTCTGACCAACCACAGCACACGCATTTCTCTGAACATTTTATAATTGGAATTATGACAAGATAATTTGGTTTTATTAAACTAAGTTAATAATCTAAATTGGCCACAACAGAAGTTTCTAAATCCGGTGTTTAGAGTACTGGCCCTTTGTCAGGATGACTGAAAAATAAAAATGATGCTCTAACAGATGGCTGATACTTGAATGCCACCTTCAAAAACTCTTTACAGTGGTCAATTCATATCATCAACTCAGGTGATAAAACCAAATTATCATATTTGAGAAAGATTTGGCTTGTTATTCCAAAACATTGCAATCTCTTTGCCAACTATTTTGTTCCAGAAATGGTAAAAACAAACTTTGGAACATAGCCTTTTCCAGGCATTCAGTTAGTAAAACAGAGCATAGGTGTGAAGCTATTAGTAATTAGTGGTGGCACAGTGGAAAAAGCAAGGGATTTTGGTTTGGTCAAAAAAGGAAGGTCAGGTCTAGGTCAGATTGCATCCCTGACCCCCTCTTATTTTCAACTTGGCATAGATATTGATTTGCACCACATAATCATAATCTAAGAATCATCTTTAAGGAATCCATGGTAACAATTAAGCCCCATACAAACAGTTGATGATAGTTTCAATGGTCACGTGTGTTTGAACACAAACTATCAAGCACTATCATCAACTATCATTGAGTATCATACAATTTGGATAAGTTCATATTCAACATGATTCTTGATGATAGTGAATGAAAGTTTTTTGGTTAAATGGCAAATGCTAAAATGACAAAAGTAGTAGTAAAAATTTTGCAGAATGTCTCATGGTTCAATCTCATCTTCTCCTGGAAGGCTTCAGTGCATGTATCTTCAAATTGCAACTTCTTAACTAAAATTTTAAATACCATCAAAATTACTGATATCAGCATGCCCCATATTTGTTTACAATTACACAATCTCATCATGGCATGATTTTCTCAACTATCGTCACACATTAGGGACTGTTTGAATGCAAAGTGAATGAAAGTTGAAACTATCATCAGCTATCATCAATTATCATGACCATTTGAATGGGGCTTAACCCTTTAACTCCCATGAGTGACCAAGACAGAACTTCTCCCCATAACATTAATACAGTATCAAACAGACAAGTGATGAGAATAAAGAAAAATATCAATGAAGGTATGATTAGTTGATCCAATACCAAATTCTCTAAACAAACATGGTGAGAATGATGGCAGACAGGAGAATAAATAAAGATATCTTGGTAGTGAAAGGGTTAAGATATGTATAAATTTTAGTTGCCCTTCTATTCCAATTGAATGACATAATTTATAAAAGCACTGTAAATATGAATCATTTGAACAAATGATTCTTTTCTTCTCATTGGAATATTTGTGAAATCCAAGTAAGTCTAAATGCATTCAGACTATTCTCAGAACTAGATCCTGTGTGACTTAGTCCAAACGAGAAAAAAAAACATCAAGAGAAAAATTTGTCTGGGTATTTATTCTTAGGAAGCTTAACGGCACACAGCAGACCTAAACAGGTAAATTCTCAAAAGTATTGTTTCTATGGCATTTTTATTATTTATATTAATAAATCTATCAGGAAAATATTTTTTTCTGAAAATTACTCCAAACATTTGCATTTCTTGGTATATTTTTAACCCCTAAATTTGAAAAATGAACTCTATTTTTTTTTGCTGTTGTTGTTTTGTGTTTGTTTGTACGCGATCTTTTCACCTCGTAAAGTCTTCTGCGCTTTTGGTGATTGGTGATGACAACTCAGTGCAGAATTTGAGACGCAAGGGTTGAAGCCTTTCCCACAAAAATTTAATGAAAGCTTACCACGGGGATTGAACATTCATTGAAATGCATGCAAGCTACGAAGACAAATTTATCAGTTTCGAAGGCAAGTTTTGGCAATATGCCGGATATCTGAAACATCAGGTGGTCAGTTGTGAGCGGACTTGATCAATCGGTGCAGGTGACGAAGGTTTCACTTCTGTCAAGAGCTCACACATCGCCAGCATCTCTGTTCAAATACTTTGCAATGCCAACCAGTTCATCAACTGAACAAACTTATAATAGGAAACTCACCGTATATCATACAAACTCCCGTCTCGTGCAGAAAGCGGAAACGCTTTACTTTAAACAACCATACAGTTAACACGGTGATAATCAACAAAAACATCATGACAAGCAGGAATGCCGTGTCGATCTCACTGTATTTCTTCTCTTTCTCGGCAGCTTCCTTCTCTTTGACTAAATCGCTGTCCTCATTTTGTGCTTCTACGATGGTGGAAAATGAAACTAGTAAAAAATAAGCTAAGAACGATAACCTTGATCGGCCGACCGCCATTTTGATACCCCGGTGACAGGACTCATTTCAGGCTCTCACGGCCAATAAATTCCGCCGGCATTAACTCGAAACTTGGGTCTATCGATAGGGGAGATAGTGCGCAATTTTCTGTCATTTTGCGATGGTTTTAGTTTTATTTCCCACCATCTGAGACCGTAGGGTAGATTTAAGACGACCAGATTTTACCCTTCGTCCTAATGCAAAGAGCTCTCGCTCGGTCTTTTCCGAGGATTATTGTGAATTCAAATGATTTTTGAAGTTGAAGTTACAAGCCAACTTTACGGCTAAATAAAAAAAATCACTCAAACATATCTTTTTTTTTGTCTTTGTTTCGTTTTTGTTGCTGTTTTGTTTTGTTTTGGTTTTTTGTTTAGTTTTGTTTTGTTTCGTTTTTTTTTCAGCTAGTCTGACTGCTCTAAGTTAAGCTCATTTCAAGTAGGATTTGATAACATGGACACTTCGTTTTCATCTTCTTTAAAGATAGGGGAAAATTTGAAGAGGAGGATCTTGCAATGGAGCAAAACTTTTAGATATTTATCACGAATACCGCCGGTAGACCATGATTCAGAAGATGTAACGTAAGGTACATTTAGCTCACGGCAATGAAAACGGAATGGGCTTTTTGAACTATAAGAACATCGATCGCCACCGATTTAATAGCATTCATAACAAACTACGTTGCAAGATATGATGATTTTTATTTCAGCAATAAATATTATCACAAACGTTTATGTCGTGCTTATTTCCTGCAAATATCTATTATTTACATTAAGAAAAATCCCTTTGTACAAGCACAAGATTTTTTTATCAATTGTTATTAAAAGCAGTTTAAAGCTGTTGCGTAAAATAGTCGCTGAAATGCAATATACTTGTAATAAAATTTAGTAAGAATTGAAAAAGATAAACTTAACCAGACTAACTAAAAACTTACAAATATGTAAAAAAAAAACAAACAAAAAAACAAAAGCGAGCTGACTGCGTTTTACGAACGGCAGACTTCGTCGGGTTTTCGATTATTTAAATATCTAATAAAAATGGGCCAGGTTTGGTGTTTCCTTGCCAGATAAAACTTGTCTAAGGCGTAATTTGTAGCATGCTATTTAAGCTAATTGATAAATTTAATCATGGAAGTTAAAGAGGCCAAGCGTTAATATTTCAAGTTATTTTTAGCCCTATGTATAGCTTCCCTAAACTTCAAGACGAGATTAAAATATTATGGGTGAGACAGGAAATCACAAACGGGAATAAAAGACTAAGATGGAACAAGTAAAACTGAGAATAAAGAAGATTAAATAAAATCAAAAGTGTCGTTTTAAATTTTGGCTCAATGTCTTATCACAACCTCGTTGCTATGGAAACGGAGGCTCAGAGCTACAAATGCAGGTTCTCATTAGGCATAGCAACCATTTGCAGTAAAAATGCTTATGAATATACATTTAAAAACTCGACTGAAGTCTTTACCGCGCAGTCTCACTACACCTATTACAAACTCGCTCCATTTGATCAGGCGAAAATAATAGAATGTATTACTTAGAATTAGACAAGTTGAAAAAAAAATTGATACATCCACTTAAATGTTTTGAAATACTGTATGCTACAAATTTTTACATTATATACATAAGTTTACTAAATATTTTCGCTATTCTATAAATACTTCGTAACCAAACGTTTAAAAAAAAATTTTCAGATACAAAGTGAACATTTCCTATCAAAATGTTTACTAAGTTCTGCTCTCAATCGAAGTGACTCTTCATATTTGTTTATACTTTTATTACTCTGGTTTTCGTTTATCTTAACAAACTCTCCTTTTAGTTTATCCTTTTCATTTCAAAGGAATTCATCCAGAATATCGTTAGATAGGAACATTATAAAACTCATTTCTTGTCGGAAATCCCCACAATTCAGCTGAACAGTAAAGAGATAATTTGCATTTGTTCGCATTCGCAGAGCTTTAAATCTACTGAATGCTTGCGAGCTATCTCGGCAATGAATCTTTTAAGCTAATTTTTACGAAATAAAACTTGAACTCAAGACAAAAAAATTTTTACACCATGGACTATTCCAAAAAACGTCGCTTTAAAAGCCTTCAAATAGAGATATCAAAGCTGAAAAGTTGGTAGAAAATGACTAAGGAAAAACACCAATGCTTACCTTTTTTCCATCCCATAAAAAACAACACATGTACCGAAACATGCAGAAAACTACAAATAAAGTAACTATCTACATGTGCACATACCACAGTTATTTTCGACTTATTTTAATTTTTAACTTGATTCTTTGCAATATTACCAAACGTGAGGCCTAAAATTAAATTATATTTCAACTGAATCGATTTAAACTAATTTGGAATCGACGTCAACTATTTCCTGCGCTTAGCACAGTTAGCCCCCTTGCTTCCCGCGCTTAGCGCAAAGGCCCCACTCGTATCCCGCGCTCGGCACAGGGTGTCCACGCTACACGAGTGCTTTTTTGGAGCTCGCGCTCTTTGGAAATTGATAGCTGATATCATCTAGGCCTACTGAGTTAATTATTATTCAACATTTCTTACGAATAACATGTACCTCTTTATAACGAAAACCGAGAAGCAATGTATTTTGCACGAAAGCATACCATTCAGCTTAGCTAGATTTAAACATATCACACAGCATTCTCTCGATGGGTACGTTATCAAGAGCTCCGCGGAAGAACAAGTCTTCTATCATCTTGGGACTGACTGATCGTAATGATGGTAGCATCAACAACAGCTTTCCGAATCTCACTTGCTGGTCAGGATTTTGGCTGCGGCAATGTTCTCCCAGCATGGCTTGTGCTTGATCTTGAAGTCTTTCAACCATGTGAGGTGCTCGGAGACCACGAAGGTCTACAATGAAAAATTTACACAGAGCAAGGTAGTTAATCGCTTTTTATTATAAATCTACCAGCGTTCTACCAAAATGCCGCAATTTTACTGGTCAGCCACCATTTTTTCCCGTGGTAAACAGTGAATAATTTAACAGTGTGCGGTTGGAAACAGAACAAAAGAAAAAGATCAACTTGTTTTGTTTACAGATTGTTAAGTTTTTTATTTAACAGTAGCTAGATTTATACTAAAACCATTTGATTGTTCAATCTCTATTTCTATGTGCGATTGCTGGTTTTGTCTTCGACTTCATCAACCATAATCCGATAGAAATCACGGGCTCATAATCTAATTCTATAACACATGGTCTGTTAGCTAAATCGACGCCAGGTGAAGAAAGTAATAATATCAAAGCGTCCATAACAGCACAACAATATCCGAGAAATACTGCGACTTGACAGAAACAGGTTTGTGCAGCAATGAGCGCAAAAATTCGCACGTTTACAGAAATCAAAATGGAAAAAAAATTCCCTCGACAACAAAAGAAGGAGTGGGAGGGAAAACAAAACACTGACCACCAACTTTTCATTAATTCCTATTTTCAACTACATTCTCAAGCTGAAAATTCCCTCTTACCTGGCTTGAATAGAACAATGGCTTTCAAACACGCATACTCAGTAGAGTCAATCTCCACCCGCTTGAATCTCGCCACCACATTTTGTAACAGACGGATGTCTGCCATTCCCGCCACGATTTTATCTGTGGGAGCTTTATCTACCTGTAGACCAGCTGCAGACAGAAGTGGCCCCATATCTACTGGTAAAGAGAACTGGGCGGCGCTCAGAACGAAAAGCTCACTCCATCCTTCCTCCAGCAAGATTGCTTGATCACGGAAAGGAAGATCCAAAAATGTTGGTATGTTTCTTGCCCAAGTGACTGACATGTACAATAACTGCACAGCCGACTCATATACAGACTCTGGGGAGGGCTGGTACACAAGTGGTGACCTTTCTCTGGGGTCTTCACTCTCGTGTTTAGGGCTAGTGTCAGTAGTACTTGGTGAAGGCTGCGCAGAGTTGTCTTTTGTGTCGATCAGACTTGCTATGGAAAGAAAGTTGCGCTTCTTGGAGGAGTCTGGTGACTGGTTGTTATTCTGGCCGTGGTACTGAGGGACTGGGGGCGAGAAGCGTGATATGTCGCTCGATCTGTTCGAGTCCAGTTCTCGCTCAGGGCTGCCCCGGCGCTGTGATCTGTCACCCGGGTTGCTTTTGGAATAAGAATATAGCTGTTCTGGGATAGCGTGTGCAGGAGGTTGTTCATACGAACCACTGAGCACTGAGCACGTGGGGACAACTGGGACAACCTGCGAGGAGCGTGGGGCTCGCTCGTGTTGGACGGCTGCAGAAAGAAAGAAACAAGAAAACAAATTTCAAATTCAGAAATTTTATCCAATGTTTACATGTTAATGGTCAAACTCGGTATCGGTTACTCAAAGTTCAGAACTAGACAAAAATATATATATTTTTCAAGAACGATGTCATTTAACTTGATCGAGATAAGGATTGTCTCTTTGAAGAGATTCTTAAAAGTCTGCTTGAAGTTTCGCGGCACTAAAGTCTGTTCAATTTGTTCCCGTCTGCGAAATTGATCATAACATCATAAAATTAACTTTGTTCGCCAATTTGGTCTGAGCTTATTTCTTCCCAACAGTTTGTCTTACATAAAATTAACTTTGTTCGCCAATTTGGTTAGAGCGTATTTCTTCCCAACAGTTTGTCTTACAGTATTGCATCAGCGGTTTCATCCATGGGCGATATTTTTGCCTCCTTTCCTCTAAAAATTAACGTGTTGCATTTTCATTTGAAAATAAGTAACTTCACTAAAAATGTCTTAGAATAAAATCAGTCACTACGTTGCTTTACTCCGCTGTAAAACTTCTCTATCCCTAGGCAAAAAGAATTTCACATTTTTACCGCAATATTAACGTCGTTATCATTTTTCAAATTATTTTTACAGCCACCAACTAAAAACCGCATCGCATCGCTCCCTGAAATTACCAAACGTTTTCTATATTTCGTAACTTAGATACCGTGAGGTATGCGCTGTAGATTGGGTAATTGCAAGAGAATATAGACAGTTTATATTCTCTTTGTAATTATTAATTTAATTCGTATCCATGGAAAATAAAACTTAGAGAGAGCAACACGAGTCTTAATACAAAACCCCGCGAGCTGGAAATTATGAAAGGAGAGCGTTTTTTTTTTTGGATAGCAATACAGCACCCACTAAAGTCTCGCAACAGATTCGGGAAAAAAGAAAAGGTTAAGTCATTCTTTGGCAAATACGTACGTGAGCAAAATTTTCGTTTAAATCCCTCTATTGGCATTGAATCCTAAAAGTTGAAATTTAATTGACAGACTTAGCCTGCACAAACGAAAATTACGCCAGTTTTTCAATGCAAAATAAAGTTGTCTTCAGAAAATGGATTATGTCATAATTGGATGAGAGCTATCAACAAAATTGTTAAGGTTGTATTAGCAAAAATTATCCAAAAAAAAAAAAACAACGACAAGTTCCAAAGTCAAGCTTAGCAAAATCGAGGTGTCTCTCATTTGGTCTTTAATCAGGACTGCTAGACTGAGATTTGTCATAAAAACAATAACTCAGGGCGTTTGAGAAAAGGAAAGATAAAAGACTGAAAAATTTTGATGCTCTGAAAACAGGAAGTTTAGAAGGTGTTTTCTATGCCGACAACAGCTTGACGTTGGTTGACACTCGATCTATATCGAGCACACTTTATAAAAGTCAGAATATTTACCTCTCTCCTCTTTTTTTTTTTGATCGGTTTAGAGGTATTTTTTTCTACAATTTCACAGACATTACCAGGATTAGTAGAACATTTCTAAAACTGAAACCATGTCTTTTCAGATGTAAATCAACGATCGAGGGGGGGGGGGAATTGCTAATTTGGGAAAATTACACTCAGTTGCCATGACCCTTAAATGAAAACTAATATTGCGCCGTCTTTTGGAGACACCATTGATCGTTTTAGCAGATATAGATAATGGCTTGTTTTTGAAATTGAAGATTGAAGAGTTGCCAAATAAATTTTCTGAAAGCCTAAGCAACGGGTCTTGAAGATACACAATGAACAGGCTGGTAGATTAGCAATCTGTCGCACCTATGGACAGCATCTTTAATTTGGCAGAGTTCCGTTACGTTATGATGCCAAAGAAACGACAAAGTCGTGCACGATTCGCACTAATGATATGCGTCTCAGAGTGCAATTCCCGGTTTGAATACGCCCACTAAGACCTGCAGTTGTTAGCATAACTTTTGTTTTCTTCCAGCTTTTGGGTTGACGCCCGCACGACTTGATCACGCCTGAATGTTGAGTCAAACGAGGCCTTTGTGAATTATTAAACACCGACCGATTCTAAACCAAAAACACCCCTTAGGTCGCCGAAAACCGCAGCCTATAAATGTTTTGATACCTGCCTATCGGCCGCAGGCATCAGTTATAAAGCAAGGAATTCCAAAGTGAACTCCGGCTCAAAATAGTGCCATGCCAAAGGACTTGAAAAAAGAGAGCAGAACTCAAACGCAATTCGATACATTTCATTAGCGAGTATAGTTCTAAAGGGAAAAAGGGAAAGATCTGCAATTAAGATTTCATTAATAATAAATGAGACCCGCTCTCTATAGTTTGAACTGTTGAAATGCAGATGTTTCCTTTGGCGCAATGATCGGAACTTCGTTCTCGAGCTGAGCGGAGAACGATTTATTTCTTCTAAACTCGATCGTAGAATTATTAAGTAGACTCAACATTTTGTAACTTCGTTTGTTTGATCCATCCATATTTTTTTCTACCTTATGATATCAGCGCCTGGGCGCTAAATGAGTTCCCTAAGGTAATAAAGAACACAATTACAAGCCTTGTGATGAAATTGATAAATTTATCCGTGATGTCCAGCTGATGCGTTTGGGCGTGAAAATAAATTTCCAAGTTTATCTTTTTCTTTCGCAGTAAATTAATTTTCTTAACTGCATTTCCACAGAGAAGTAGATAAAACGAGAAATAATTAAACGGTTTACTTCTTAGTAAACAATTAATTTAAACGCGGGTGAGATTTGCCGAGCACTGATCGCCATTCGTTGTTAGAAGTCCGGTTAAATTCCTCAAAATAATTCAAATTAAATTTTCGGATACAAAGAGAGATCATTAGTTCTCGATTATGCTTCATTTAGAGAATTTAAATAGATTTTAAACCTTCGCAGTTTGTACGCTCAGTTTTGCGTCCAAATAAAAACTTCTGCATCGTGCTTGCACGCCTCAGCGATTTTACCAAGACACGCAAACCCAAAACAGCTTAGTCGAATTTCCGGCGTTTGCAGAATCGATGGCCAAATTTTACAAGACGGTCAAGAACCGTTATAAGTCAAGAAATAGTGTTGAACTTTGTTCGCTTACCGTCTTTGTTCATCTTAACTTCAAAGCACTTCTTTAACCTGCAAGCCTGGCATTGATTTCGTCGCGTTACATCCACAGTACAGTTGCCTCTTTCCTTGCACTGATATGTTAAATTACGACGGATACTTCTCTTGAAAAAACCTCGGCATCCGTCGCAGGTGAAAACCCCGTAGTGTTTTCCAGAAGATCTGTCCCCGCAGACCCGGCACAGGATGATGGGCTTGCGATCTAAGGCTGAAAGAGAACGAATTCAGTAGCTTTATTCAGTAGCTAACCAGCGCTAATTTGGAAAAAATTTCTCAACAAGAGCCGAAGTGAGCCAATCACCTTCCTGGAAACCGCGCTTTGTTTCTGCAGAAAGGCTCCGTAGATGAAAGGTAAGATGTTGATGAGGACAAATCTGGCTTATTGCTCTCTAAGAAGTGCTTGCGACTTCATTCGATCAACTAGTGGCCATGCGAAATCAGTGCGAATGAAAAACCGCGTCGTAATCGCGAACAAATCGCGCATCCCTGACAACAAAAGAAGTCAGAAAATTTTGCAGCCTTTTTGCGATTTCTTTTAATAGCCTCAAATGAGCTTCGTTGGCCCTAAATGCGAGCCTTGTTTTTTTTAAACAACACTCTTCTCACACTTTGCGTCGATATTTCGAGCGGGCGAGAATCAAAACAAGAATGTGATGCCAGCATGCAACACGCCTTAAAGTTCATCTTTTCAAAACTAGATACATTTCTCCACACGTTGCTTCCCATCTAGTTAAAAGGAAATTAGCTTAATTATTTGCGGTACATCACAGAAAGAGGAAATTCGACGTAAAAATATTTTTGAGACCGTTCATTGACTTCACGTGCTAAATACCGGCGTGAAAAGGCAAGTTAAAAAGAGTCACTAAAATTGTTACATCTTCGCATACCTTGCATTGTCTGTTGTGTTTCCAAGGAGAGCTGAAGTGAAGAATGTTCCATAAACGATCCTTTGGTTGTGTTTAAGAGACAACACCTTGCTTTTAATTTACTAGGCAAGCAGCTGAGGTGTTTAAGCGATTTCTCCAGGCAAACGGACAAGTTAAGTGAAATTTATCCACGGGAATGAAAACGAACAGGTGCGGGCGTCTAGCTGCAGCCTGATTGGTCACTGGGTGATTATTGCGACATTTCGACGCTTCCCATTGGCCGCTCTTAGAGAGGAAGAAGTAGTCGTTTGCCCATACAAGAGAGGTAGCGATTGCCGTGTGTGGAAATAGACATGATAGCGACAAACTGTATATCTGTTTACATGCTAATAAGATTGCTCATCAATAGTTTACGCCGTTTCTTTATTGAATGTAGCAACGGATCGTGCGTTATTGCACTCAAAGATAAGCGTGGAATTGAAAGCTCGAAATCACAATGTTCCCTGGCATGAAGCGTTGTGTGCGAGAAGTTGCATCAAGGGTTATAAACCACAAAGCCAAAGAGCTTGGAATCTATTCATCGCGACTGATTGCATAAGATTTAATGAGATCTTTTCAAGATTAATTATTTTTCCTTCTGAAGGCTTCCTTTAAAAATTGCGCTGACAAAGACGCAGGCGAAGGAACGAGAGAGCTTTGTTAATACAAAAGAATCGAAGACAATTTAAAACCAGTGGAATTTCCATTATAATTCTTTTACTGGCACGTGCAGCGAAGAACACAAAGTCTAATCATTTTCCACCTGGCAGTAAGCGCACCACGCATGTCCAGCTTTTCGCTATTACCGTCGATTGCTAGAACAAAGTTGTTAAAAATTTATGCAAAGTTTGGCAGGTAAAGAGCTTAATGAGCGAAGGTATAAAATTCACCACCGTTAAACAAGATTAAACTCACTCAATTGTCACTAAGGTCTCTTTTCAGTTGAAATACAGGCGGTTACCACGGCGAAAAGCCTAATTTTGCCGGTTGTGAAATATTTTCAGGTTTAGCTCCCTCAAAGGAAAAATTGTTATTAATTTTAAAATTGCCCTGTAATGTAAACAGCAGTAGTGCGGTCATGTTTCCTAGTGGTCTGTCAAAGATGCTTTGACAGGAATATTTGACCTAATTAAAAGGCTCTCTCCAAAGGCTGCAGATGTTCCGAACTGCCCCACTAAGACCAAAACCGGAGTGCTTTATTTATATAAGATGCCCATACGATCTTGTAATCGATGAAGCCATTAAAAAGGCAACTGAAGGATAACAAATCTTGATAGTTTTATGACAAAGGCTCTTGATGTTTTCACGTCTTTGGAAATCTCTGACGAAACCGCCAAAGTTAATCTGATGCAAGAAAATAAAAGCAAATTACCGCCAACCCCTATAAGTGAAATTTTACCGAGAGGAAATTATTTCAATGAAAATGAAGATGACTTACAACGGCTTTTGCCTTCTTATATGGAAATAATACTTTTTTACGAATGAACCTTTTTTTTTACTTTATTGGCAATTCCCTTCGACACACTGTGTTATCAAAACAGTTATTTGAAACGGAGAGTGCTGATATCAAGTTTTGTAACCTTATTACGTACACGTTTTCAGCGAGTAAAGTTATTTCCCACAGCGAAGTGGACCAAAATATCACAAATGTTTCTGATCTACGAAATTATTGTCCTTTTTTTGTGACCAGTTTTGCGACTAGGACGAACCAAAAATATTACAAAGACGAAAAGATTTCCCCCTAACTACGTCGGTCCGGTGAAAACTTGGTTGAAATCCAATGGCTACGAAATTATTGGGTTTTTTTTTTGCGACCAGTTTTGCGACCAGGACGAACCAAAAATGTTACAAAGACGAAAAGATTTCCCCCTAACAACGCCGGTCCAGTGAAAACTTGGTTGAAATCCAGTGGCTACGAAATTATTGGGTTTTTTTTTGCGACCAGTTTTGTGACCAGGACGAACCAAAAATGTTACAAAGACGAAAAGATTTTCCCTAACAACGTCGGCCCAGTGAAAACTTGGTTGAAATACAATAGCTCTTATTTGTCAATGACTGTGACCTTTCAACGTGTTTGTGTTCCCACAAAGACGCAAGTGTTGGTTTATCGAAGGGAATCATTTAGAGATGAGCCTATCAGATTGTCTGCGACCAGACGATGAGAATCTAGCAAGTCAATAGGGCGGTATACGTGGACAAAGAGACGACAGAAAGAGCAGAGGCCAATGGGTCGGTTATTTAAACATAGTTTAGCCGCTGTTTAACAAAACCGAGTCCTAAACAATCCTAAGTTTGCTAGATCTTTCATCTAAACATTTCTTTTTGGGCACATTGTCAAGAAGGCCAAAACTGAAAACGGAATGATATTTATTTCATGCGCTCTACCTTCAAAAGAGATCCAATGAAATGACTGTGATGTAAAATGAAATAATGACATTCTGGATTGGAGAGAGTGCAAACTTTTTGCGAGCTTTCTCTTTTAATGTATTTTAAAATTTGTCTACGTTTTTTATAATTATTATCATACACTTAGCCGCAGTTTCATTTGAATTACCTGGGAAGGTTTGTAGTCTCCTCAGAATAACGAAAAATTGATCTCACGTAACAGTTTATAATCTGTTGCTCCCACTATAAAATTTTTTTTTTTGAAAACTTTACATAAAACTAGTCTTAATATGCTGATTGGAAATTATCGTACAACTTGAGAAAGAACGAAAAAAAGAATAAATAAAAAGCGGGATTACCGCTATTTTTCCATGTTCAGGCGCCTACTGGTAACATTAAGGGTGTTTCTTGAAGACTTTGTTGTTGCTATAGTAACTTGCGTCGAAGAAATGACCTAAAAGAGCGTGATTCTGGTGAAGAATTTGTGCCGCTACTGACTTCCAAATTGAAAAATTATAGTGGTATTGATTCATTAAATTGTAGATGCTAGGAAAATAGTGAAACCCTCTTTAAACCTCGCGAGCATTCTGCACTGTAACCTTCTATTTCCTTTCTTGTTGCCAATTGTGGGTATAGAAAGAGAACTTGAGTGCTGGTGATGGTCGAGTCATAAAAAAAGCTCCCTATTTTTAAACAGAAAGAAGGCGATCCTCTATTTCCAAATGATTTGAATAAGTTGACTGAGAGAAGTCACCCTTTCTACAGTAACGAAAGGAAATGATGTAACAATTGGCGAAAAAGAATGATTTTCAAGCACCATTGGAAATGAGAGGCTCGCTTTGGTATGGAATAATTCACTAGATAATGCTTTTTCAGAAATATTAACCAAAAGGCGCATAAATTAACCCTTTAACTCCTAAGTTCTGATAATTAATTCTCGTCTCTGTAATTAGTAACGAGAATTTGGTGTCATGTCGAGATATCAACTTCAACCTGATAAGTTTGAGTATTCTTATTTCCTCTTTGCTGGATAATGTATGGATTTTACGGGGAGAAGTTACATGTTCATAATTTCAAGGAGTTGAAAGGTTAAAATGAAATACTTAGCGCAAGTGAAAGAAAACAGAGAAATCTCAACAACTAGAAGTCGTCCGCCGTCCGTCGTCGACAGTCCGTTCCCTGAAATTTGTTCATACGTAACTGCTTTGTTACTTTCTTTGGGCTTACGCAGCTGAGATGGTAAATTGTACAAAAGGAAACCTATTTAAAACTAATAAGTGAAGACACTGTGTATTACAAAACAAATCAATGACTTAAAAAATCTAACGATGAAAAATTAAAAAATTAGTTTAAATTGCCAAAATGGGTTAAAATATTTGATACTGCAATTTGGTAAATTTAGGACAGGCCGAAAATATTCATTGGTACTAGCCAAGCAAAAGTAGTCGTTATTTTAAAGAGTCATTGAACTAGTCTGAAAATAAAGAGTTAATGAACTGGTCATGCTTTTATCTACAGGTTCCCCACCTGTAAGCCAAACGTGACTCTTATTTACATTTATTATTCAGTTCTACCTGTCATGCATGGTCAGACCACAGATCAAAAGACAAAACGTCCTCGTGGAATTGATTTCTCCGTAGGAGACCGTGGTAGACTGCTTGGATGATCCTGTGTGCGGCAGGAAAAGAAATTGAAGAGGGCTCAGGACAAGACAATCGTACCAATTTATTCTCGCCTAACGCTCAACGGATCAGCCCTGATCAGGGAATAATGAATTCGACAAAATTGAACACCTATGTCTGCAATTTTATTGTAAATGTTCAAGTCTCCACTTTAAATGAATTAAGGTAAGGTAAAGTAAAGGGCAGTGGAAAAAAACATTGTATCTTAAAGTTAATAAAACTAATAATGCAATTAGTGAATAAATAAAGTAATCATTTAATCCATGGACGAATTTAATTTAACACAAGCAAAACTTGGTTTTGATGATAGGGCTTGAGCAAAAACATTTTTGAGTAAGGGGGGAGGGGCTATTTACAAACGGATAGGCTTCAGCCAACTAGGCAGGGGGGAGGATAGGGGCATGCTTAGCAGGACAAGTCTCTGTTAAAAGTGGGGGGACGGAGCTGAAGCTTTCCTTCGCGTCCCTTCCTCTGCACGGTCCCTGTATGAGGGGTATACCGATAGGCGAAGCGTGAAGAATGAAGCACTGTTGAAGTCAAACGGGCTTAGAGCACTACAGGTACCTATGAGAGTTGTGTTTCCATGGAAATATGAACGCCATAGATTGTAACAATTTGGTGGACAGGACAGGAAAAATTGAAAGAAAGGAGTGTAGAAGGATGG